GGATACAAAAATGCACTCCTTAGCAGATAGGTGTGTGCCCCACACCCCTGTGTACTTGCATCTTTAAATTTCCTCAGCCGGGCTCGGTGGCTCACTCCTGTAATCCCAGCACTTTGGGAGGCTGAGGCGGGAGGATTGCTTGAGCTCAGGAGTCACTCGGGTCACCATCGCGAGACCTCGTCTCTACAAAATAAAGACATAAACACATTTCCTCGGTTCTGGCCTCAGCTGCTCAGACCTGGTGTGCGCACTATCACCTTGCCGTTGTGAGTGAGATAGTGGGACAAACAGGGGAGACGCTGCCACGGTGATAATTCCCAGGGAAAGTTGCACGCACTGGCCTGCATCCTAATGGCCTCCGTGGTTCTCCGTCGCCCCCACCCTGACCCACCCCCGCCTTTCAGCCAGCCTACTGGGCTCCACGCTGGCAGTTGTCCGCTTACCTAAGGTGGGATGAAAATTGCTCGCTCTTCCCTAAAACACTGCTTAAGGATTGGCCATTTCTTTTCACCTGTGCTCCAAAGCGAATGAATGCTGGGCTTGGGGGTGGGGGGTGAAAAGTGTTGAGCAATTGCGCCACCTAGCTTATTCTCTCTCTTCCCTTCTCTCATCCAGGGAGTGGGAGCATAAAACAGGATTTTGGCAAGGCGGCTGCACAACTACTGTTTAAAGGGGGACATTTTGTCCTCAGTTTTTCAGTGTGTCTACTTGAATGATTCCCGTGCGTCCACACATTTGCCACGATTCATGAAAGATGACTTAATTTTTTTGATCCTCCCGGTTTTGGAGTAGTTGTGCACTGCAAAGTGGTAGATTTAGGAGGGAGGTTATATGCTGTTTTACACCACTTTCTGATTAAAAACACTTTGTCACAGCAAATGGTCCTCACGTCCAAATTCTAGCTGATGGTGTAGGAATGTCCACAGGATGTAAATATCTGTCCCCAGTACCTTGGCATTTGTCTTGGGTTTTAAAATGTGGCTCCCAGACAAACAGAATCAGCATCATCTGGGAGAATTTAGTAAAATCACCAATTCTTGGGGCCCACCCCAGGTATACTGATTCAGAGGTCTTGGGGGACAGGGAAGAAGAAGAACTCTGTGTATTTGTGACCGAGAATTTCCATTTCAGCTTTTGAGAAACGGTTTTAAGCCTTTTCCTTTCTTAGCCTACACTTTAAAAAATTACTTTTCCTTTCTAATCTAATTGTGTATCTGCTTGAGGGAGACCGGAGACTGATCTTGTAATAGCAAAGTCTGGAGACTCCATGGCAGAATTCTCCATGGCACACAATCAGGATTTAAGCCAGTCCTCCAGGTGGATGACGATTCTAGATAACCATCAAAGCAAGATCAGCTCCCTATACACTCCTAGATGGTTCTCATCCCTTTCTTTCCCCTTAAAACCACCTGTCCTTAGTCCAGAATTTTGAAATGGTTTCTTTGTGGCATGAACCTGGCCATTTCCCCATCTGTCAGCTTTTGTAATAAAGTCCCCTTCCTGGTACTACAGTTCATGCTTGTTTATTTCCGCCTGAAAGCATCAGTAGTAGAAACTTGCCATCTGAAACATTTCAACAAGTAACACATGCTCCAGTTTGAGAACAGCTGCTCTATGTGCCAGCAGCTGACCAAATTACCCTCATCTATAAAGGATGGGGTGCTACGAAGCCAGTGGTGCTGTTGTCATTTGTCACCCCAAACTACTTGCATTAGATAATTTGTCGTGTTGATACGCTGAAATTGAAGCCTCCATGTGTCTAAAGTGTCATCTGCACTTCATGCCAATCGCTTGGAATGCTAGCTGGAGACCTGAGGAGGCCCTCATTAAGAACTATAGAAGAGGCCGGGTTCAGTGACTCACACCTGTAATCCCAGCACTTTGGGAGGCAGAGGTGAGAGGATTGCCTGAGCTCACAGGTTCAGACCACCTGGGCAACTTGGCGAGACCTTGTCTCTACAATAAAGTAAAAAAATTAGCCAGGCATGGTGGCACATGCCTGTAGTTCCAGCTACTTGGGAGGCTGAGATGAAAGGATTGCCTGGACCCAGGAAGTTGAGGCTGCAATGGCTGTGAGCGTGCCACTGCACTCCAGCCTGAGTGACAGAGTGAGACTATAACTCAAAAAAAAAAAAGCTATAGAAGAAAAATGTGTGGTTTCTTGATGCTTGCTGGAATTAAAACACTACAACTTATTTATTTACTTAAACTTTTTAAGGTGTGCTTATGTTTTCGTTGGCATGTAAATTGTTCCCAGTCAATGAATCATGAAAAATGGGAAAGCTAATTTAGGTGAGTGGATTTGACATTATAGTTCTAAATTTGTCAAATAGTTCTGAAGAAAATAACAAATTTTCAAAGTTTATGGTGCCAGCTTACATTATAACCAACCACAACTCCAACCCCCACCATATGAGGCATTGTAGTAAGGGGCTCTTAAGAAAGAAATAACTGATTGGGTTCTTTCTCTTTATTTCAGATTTCTACATGGGACACATTTCCAATTGCCTGCATGGATATCTTACCTTTAAACTCTCTAGATTCAAGTTTATATTAAGATTTCCCCAACTTTTATCTCCTATGTACTTGACCGAACTACCCAATTTCAACTGGAACTGGAATTGAGTTTTCCCACCCTTCATCACCCTCCTCTACCAGTTAAGCCTGAAATTCCTCTAGAATTGGCCTTTTTCTTAGGCTTCTCATGGTCACCATCCTAAGACCAAGTTCTAAGACTTTCTGTCCATTGCAGTCATCTTTATTGTTCTCCCAGTTTCTGGCCTTGCCCATCTCTAATCTATCTGACAAAGTACCACCTGGTCATTCTAAAATACCTTTCCAACCAGATCGTCTCCCCTCTCAAAAACTTTTTCACAGCTTCCTATTGACGACTGAATACAATCTAAAATCCCAACATAGCGTTTGAAGTCATCTAAAATAGACTTCATCTCTCTGTTTTTGTTCATGCAGCTTCCTTCACCTGACATTGACAGCTAAGTCCTGTCTGTACTTTAAGCCTCAGCGATCTGTCTCCTCCTCTTGGTCAACCTTTTTTTTGTGGGGGGGCGAGGTCTCATTTTGTCACACAGGCTGGAGTGCAGTGACACCATCATGGCTTACCACAGCTTCAATCTCTTGGGCTCGAGCAATCCTTCCATTTCAGCCTACAGGGACTGTAGCTGGATTACAGGCACATGCCACCATGCCTGGCTAATTAAAAAAAAATTGGCAAAGACAAGGTCTCACTATTTTGTCCAGGGTGGTCTCAAACTCCTGGTCTCAAGTAATTCTCCCACCTCGGCCTCCCAAAGTGCTGGGATTATAGGCGTGAGGCACCATTCCCGGCTTGGTCAACCTTTTGGATTCCCAGGTAGGGTCAATTATTCCTCTGCAGTACATGTTCAACACCTGGCTTTCACTTTTATTAACAACTTTTTATCAGTCTCAATATCTGATTTAGCTGGGTCTTTTAGATTATAGATTCTGGCAGGCAGGAGTCATGCGCAACTGATTTTCAAGTCATCCTAGGGTATAGCATAATGCTTTCGGCATAGAAAACATTGTTGTGTTTTTGACTCTAGGAAAGAGACTATTTAAACAACAAACTCCATCTATATGAAATGCTTTTATGCAAATATTGATCAGCTTCTCTACATTTCTCTGAGAACCAAAAGAGAAGAGGGTTTAAATTTCAACTTAAAGGACATAAATTAGAATCTGAAAAGAAATTCCCCAGCATGGGTAATGGGAGTTTTCTTTTTTTTTTGAGTTGGAGTCTCACTCTGTCACCCAGACTGGAGTGCAGTGGCACGCTCCCGGCTACCACAGCCTCGACCTGCTGGGCTCCAGCGATCCTTTGCCTCAGCCTTCCAAGTAGCTGGAACTACAGGCACGTGCTACCACACCCGGCTGATATTTTTGATTTATAGTAGAAATGAGGTCTCGCCAAGTTGTCCAGGCAGGTCTTGAACCTACGGGTTCAGGCAATTCACTCACCCTGGCCTCCCAAAGCACGGGATTACAGGCTGAGCCACTGAGCCCGGCTGGGAGTTTTCAATGGGAATAACTTTTAAACAGATGTTATTCTCAGTCACATGAAGATGCAGGATTTATAATCTCTTAAATTATTAAACGCTTTGATATAAATTTCTCTGAGAACAACTGTTTCATGACAACTAGATACAAGGGTATATCTGATTTTTTTCCTATTTATCATTTCTTAGAAACTTGCCAATGCTGCTGTTTTTCAGAAGTGTATATTTTTTGGTGAATGTGTGGATTCTCACATCCAAGAGGCAAGAAATGGAAAAAAGCGTCCATGGGAAGTTTCCTCTTGGTCCTGCTCTCTTTTGCCTGGAGGGAACTTATGAGTGAGGCTCCTCCTTGCTCCCCCCACTCCATCCCCAGAGGGAAGCACACTGCCCTTGCAGTTATACATAGATAACTCCTTTCCGCTCCACTTTTCTGTTAAACCTGAATTCCTAGAAGGCATGAGCTATCTTATTTACCTTTGTATCCTGGGCAAAATGTGTGGCCAAATAAATATTTGCTGAATGAATTCATCAGTTATTTCTGTATCCCTGAAAAACCTGGGAGTTTGCAACAACTTCCAGTGACCTTCAGAGCTGGGCCTGGTCTCTCATGTGCACATTAGAACATTTCTTGTAGGTCATTATCGAACTCTAAGCGTCTGCTGGATACTGAATGCTGTATTTTGATGTAAGAAAAAGCTAATAAAAAAAAGACATTGGGGGTACACTGAAATCATGCTCAACTATTTTTCCTGAACCTCTGTGTCTAGGTTTCCTCATCTACAAATATGGACTACTAACAGCACCTACTTCCTAAAGCTGTTGTGAAGATCACATGGCTTAGTACGTGCCAAACTCTGAGAACAGTGGTGTGACAAAAGCATTCAGTAAAGCAAGAACCATTATTATTATTATTGAAGATTTCTAACGGCTTCTGTCAAAGATGGCAGGGAAAAACAAATAACACAGTCTAAGTGGTTTATCTTTTATTCATACAAACAATACATACACAAGACTGTATATTGTCTGAAGACTGAAATAATTTTCTAGTGTAACAACTCTGTAACAAAATTTAACTAAATGTAACACTTATGAAAATATAAATCTCTGATTGGGTAATTCTTCCCAACAATACAAAGTTTACATAAAAACATTCAATGTGAGCTATCAGTTGCAAACAAGTTAGGAAAAATCATTCAAGTCACTTGTTAAACTCTATTGGTTTTTACACAGAACATTCACACACTACATTTAATCCACCTAGGCATTTAGTTCTTAGAAATGTGTGGCACAGAGGTTCAACTGATAATGACAAGAATAAGAATGTGTTCTGAAAGAGCTCGAAAGCACTGACTCATACAATCAACTCCAGGTGGTCTGTGTGTAGGTAGCCTTCTTGGAACTACCACCTTCCTGGCTACTAGCTAAACCAGGAGGAACATACTGAAAAAAGTCTTTCACCACGGAGTGGGGTATTTATATCTGAATCATATCTTTGAATGCTTATGTGTTAAACTTCTTTCCAAAGTGAACTACAATGGACTTGGATTCTCTATGGATTCGATCACGTTATTTTTCCTGCTAGCATCAACAATCAAAATGTCGCTGTATTTTTTAATTTTTTCCTCACATCGTCCTCCAATGTCCCTCTGAGGGCTATAGCAGAAGCTATCCTTACCTTTCTTTTGCAAAAACAATACACTGGTGAGGTTAAAGGTCTGTCTAGGGATACACGATGAGTTCATGGTGCAGCTGGACCAAAAGCAAGTCAATTTCTTGTTCGTTATTCTGCTTACTAAAGTCACTATTACCACTTTGAAAGAAAATCAAGCCAAACCATCACTGCAACATCCTCTGAAGGTTATCCACGGACATGCCATGTGGGAAGATACAGAAGAAAGAACAATCACCTTCATCTATTAAGATGCAATATTTTCTTTTACATAGGTGAAGTCGTTTTTAAAAAAAATATTTGGCACCATTTCACAGCTTCTGCTTTGAAATGGGTAAGATTATAAAAGGCTCAGAAGAGTCCTCAGAAAGAGTAACTGTTAGAGAAGCATACACACAGTGTGTAGAAGTAAGAACGTGATTAAAACAGGGACCACAAAGAACCTTTGGACACCCTTAAGATCTATGGAGTATTTTAGCACAAAGACAGGCATATTCAGTTTGTCCCAGAGTATTTGGTCATCTATCTGCGTTTTACACAGGAGGAATGAGAGTAAGGCAAATGTCATCGGTATCTCAGAGTTGGCATGTTAAGAAAGCTTGCTTTCTGTTAAGATTCCAGGGATTTAGAGAATAACTTAGGCTTTCATACAATTGACTGAATAGTACGGACTGTTTGGAGTACAATGATAAAAATGAGCAGGTGTTTTGACCAGATGTGTAATGCCCTTCCTGTCATTCTTTTTTACACTAGGACAAATATGCATTTCAAAAAGATGTGAAAAGATTGTGGTTTCTTAGTAAATGTGTTCTTTTGCAACCCAGGAAATACATAGTTTAAAAATCAGAGATTCCATTATATAGAAACCCTTGCATGCAATTGTTGCGACCGTATTTTAATAAAGACTCACTCCCCGTGTTCAGTAGCCCTATGATAGCGGTAGGTAGTCCAGTTCACAGTCTCACATTTCACATCGTGTCTCTTGGGAAACTGGGAATACATCTGGGTATTTTTGTTACATTATTTTGCACCTTTAGACCATTCACCTGCAGACTAGGTATACACAGTTGTCAGGATTGTAAAGAGAGATTAAGGCTGTGTGTACTTATCACAAAATCATTTGAAGTCAAACAGCTCTGTCTTCGTGATCTCAAGTGATTTTCGCAGAACTGATTCCAGCCCAAGTGGTCCATACATACCTCTAGCCTCTCTCATCTGAACCAGTGGGATGAATCATGCTGCTTCTTACCACACAGCTCATTTAAAAACTTTAATCTTCTAGCTTCTAGGCTAAATCATCATTTAAATACTATTTCTAAAAATTCTATTCATTCCTGAATATACTTTGACAAAAAGACTGCCCCTAAAATCAGTCTGATGGTTCTGTATGTTTCATGAGCATCTTAATATAACACTGGAATTCCACCACTTTCCCTGTCTTTTAAGAAATGAGTAGTCTATGATCTGGGACGCATTTTTTTTGTCTCTTTTGCACGTGGATTGCGTATTTTCACTGAGCAGGATAAATGCTTTGTCAGTTATCAGGGGCATAGCTGTGACCCCTGGATTCCAGGGCAGAGCATACTCGGTCATAACAAGAGTTGTATTTCTTGGAGGGTGTTGCTTCATTAGACTCAGTAGAGTCGCTCACTGTGATGGGACTGTCTCTTGCAAAGACCTCCGTGGACTCTCTCCATAAGCAATCCACAGACACTTTGAAACAATAACTGTTACACTTTGGCCTGGATGTGTGTGTAGCATTGTTGAAAATTTGTCTGCTATTTGAAGTGGCAATTTTAATTTTCAGTGCAGCATCCACGCGGTCGACTACTGTGTATATCCCGATACTCCCATCATCAAAGCCCACAATGATGTGCAGGTGCCTCTGAGAAAGTGCAAGGAAAGTTGGTGTTTTGTAAAGGGAACAAGCACCGATGTTTTTGCCATCTGCCAGTCTCATGACAATTAAACTGGATATTGCACCATTTTCATCTTCTTCCTCCCCGTTTCGGAAACAAATGTAGACCAGGTAGCGACCATCTCGAGACAATCTCTGCCGCCAGATGATCCCAGAGGCGTGAACCACTCGTAATTTACCGCTGTGTAAATCTAGCACGTTGATGTTTTCATCTCCCCTGGATATAATGCCTAACTTTCCATTGGGGGAAATTTCAAAATCCTCCAGGTTTTTCAAGAAGTTGTTGGGAAGTTGCACTCGTCGACAGATCACCTCATCTGTCAGACTCCAGAGGTTCACCGTCTCAGCTGATGTGATAAACACGATGATGTCAGGACAGTCGGGGATTAATTTAAAATTCACAATGGTGGTCCCATCTTCACAGCAAAATTTCTTGGTGATACTCCCTGTCCAAAGACTGACTGCCAGCACTTTACTTTTAGTCATGCCCACCACGAAGGTGTTTGCAGAGGTAATAAAGGCATTCTGCAATGTGGTCAGAATGTTGCAGACCCTGTGGCCTGTGGCAAGTCTCCAAACCCTGGAGGCATTTTCCTCGCAAAGAGAAACCACAAACTGGTCATTGTGTGTAATCAGCAGCTGAGATATTCTCTGCCCATTGATTCGGAAAAGGTTTTCACCACTGCTGGTATGCCAGACATACTGGCTGCTTTTGTCATCTGAAGTCACCATAATGTCTCCAGCGGATGTTAACACACAGTGTTCAACGATTCCTTCATGCTTGAATATGGCTTCGATGAACCCACTGCTGAAGTTCCACTTGTGAACACAATCAGAGCCATCCAGGGAGTAGATAATCTCTCCTCTAGCGGGCAACACCAGACTTTGGATGGGTTTTCCAGTCTTATCTATGTTGGACATGGCTGTGATGATGTCTATGTCCCACATGGAGAGAACACCACTGGTTGACAAAGAGAGTAGCATATTGTGGTGACTAGATTTCACCAACTTGACAATGGAACCTGAGATTTCCTGCAAGCTTGCCATACATTGTCCTGTGTCCCGTCTCCAAAAAAACACAGCTGAGGTATTTTCCATGGTCGCGATAATGCAGTCCCCATTTTTGGATAGCACGGCAGATATAAAGCGTTCGTTGTGCTTGGCTCTGAACTTCTCGGCCACCTTCCACAGGCTGGTATCTAGAAGCTCGATGCTAAGGGCTTTACAGATCAGCACTGCACTTTGGTCTTCTGAAAGCTCAATGCTGACCACCTCACTGTCTTCCCTTCGGCAGTCAAAGTCATCAGTCAGCTGGGGGCTGGACATGTCTTCCGTGTTCCAAATGGAAAGACTTCCCTCACTGTCTACCATTACCATTTCCTGAGCCGTGTCCAAGATAAGAAGAAACTTCACAAACCCACCTGAAAACTCTGATGTTACTGTGCATAACTTTTCCCCACTTCCTAAATGAAATATGGTGGTCGTGTTCAGGTACTGGCCACAGAAAGCATACACACCATCCAGAGAGCACTGGACGCATGTCACTTCATACCAGCAGTGGAACTGGTAAAGCGGCCATCCGTAGAGCAGATCAATGACAGTGACATCTTTGCTGGCTTCAAGCCATGCGAGGGCGTGGTTAGCGGACAGTGTAAATCCGTTGATGTAGGTGGAGTCACTTCCATGCCTGGTGCCTTTGATCTCTACTTCAGACAGGAGACAGGAATTGACATTGTCATAAATCAGCAAGGTGTTATTGGTTGTGGCCACTACGAGGTACTTTTCGTCACTGGTGAGTTTCATGCCCAGGATGACAGACTGGGCTGTCGTGATTTGCCTGAGTAGTTGGCGAGTCTCTACATCCCACGTGCTGATGGAACCGTTTTCTAAAGCTGTGAGGACAGTACTGGGGTTACAGGTAGGCAGAATCTCTGTGACGTGCAGGTGACTGGATGACAAGGGGAGACGCTCTGGGCTGTATGTCACGTCCATGGATGAATGCAGTGGCACGATGGAGCAGTATTTGGGCCCATCTTTGTCACATTCTAAAAGAAGGTGTCTAAGTTTGGGCAGGGAGCTTACAACAGGCAGCAGTCTTTGCTGAAGCTCTGCTGAAAGGGAGCCGGGAAATGCAATGACCTTGGTTTTGATGCCCCGGAGGGTGCTGGCCAGGAACTTCAGCTCCTTCTCTTGGGAGTAGTTGTAAGCCAGCTCGATGTCTGAAAGCACTTTGTCGAACTGGCCGATTTTAATCATGGTATAAAGCCAACTGAAATTCATGATGATGCCATATAGCAAGTCATCGGTCTTCCCACACCTCGTCAGGTGATACAAAAGCTCAGACATTTTCCGATGGTTGACAAAAAAGATGTCGGGCTCCAGAGGATTGCACTGGAAAACCCAGGGCTGGTCCGGGGACTGCCTATCAAAGGAAGCCTGCTCCATAAAGTGCTTCTCTTCCTCCAGCAGGCTTCTGCTCTCCAAGTCCAGGCAGCCATTCAAGTAGGGGTCTTCGAGGCAGAAAGCTTTCCTCCTTCCCCCTGACCAGACCCCCAGAAAATAGTCTGCCAGGATGGTGTGCATTTCACGCAGGTCACTGTCATTCTGCAGATACAGTTTCTGGGCTATGAGCTGCAGGTGTCTGTTGGCCCAGACCAGGAGTGTGACATTCTTGACGTGTCTTTCTATTAAGTACCCACTTAGACCCTCCTTGAGTCTCGCGATGTACAAATAAGGTACCCTCAGGGGATTGCTGGGCCTGGTGTGCTCGTTGAGTTCATTCATAACACTGTTGTCCAGGGCCAATACATCCTCCAATTCCATTTCACTCAAGCCCATTTTGGCCATGGTGATATAACCAAGTGCCCTGCAGACCAGTTTCTGACCACACTTTTTCTCCAAGGACCAAAATAACTGCTCTATGCTTTCATGGACGGTGACGCAAAGGGAGGATTCATCGACATCTTTGTGAGATCTCCAGTGTCTCACCTCCCTGAAGGTCAGATTCACGAACATGGGCAGTGTGCACTTGGAGAATGCGTTGTTCACGTAAATCTGCTGGCCTGATGTGACCTTCCTTTTGACCCGCAGCAACTGGTGTTTGAGGACCTGGCTGCACATCTTCCTGTCTCGGGGAATCAGCTCGATGTAGTTGTCTTCTTCGTGGATAAGGCACCTTAGTTTCTGCAGGATCCCGTGTTTGTTGGGCAGTGTGGAGAGGACTATCCGTACAAAGCGGGGAAGGTGAGCTGGGAGCCACCAAAGCTTCCTGGCATCATCATTCTCTGAAAGTTGCTCCAGGGCATCGAATATTATGACTAGAGGTCTCTGCGATGAAGACTCATTCAAAAGGTTGATAAATAAGTCACGGAGGTCATGGATCTTCTTAGGGTAGCTTTGAATCAGACACCGGTAATTAACTGCCAGTTGCTCACAAACACTTAGAAGGAGAGTCCTAAGGTCAGTGCTCATGTCTGTCGTTCCTAAAAATCTCACAACCACCACTGGGTCAGATTCTGGTCCGGTGTCTTCATGTAGCCAGCCATAAGCCTGAAACATAAAAGTGGAGCTTAGAATGGTCATAGGTATTCGCACGGTTATATTTGATAACGTTTCCTCTCTCCAAGAGCTCAGACTTCTGGTGACCCCTACCATGCAGAAAGTTGGCTAGAACCAGGAAACATATAACTCTTCTGAGAAGGCCCAGAACGGCCGCAAAGTTTATGCACTAAAGTCTACAGGTGAGACCCTCAGGATTACTCTTACTAAAGGCATAAAGTAGTGATAATGATGTTATTCAATCATACGGCAGCATTTAGCTTATATTTTTAAAGATACACAGCATTTCATAAAGGGTAAATCTGAATATTTAGTGTGGTCAGTTTTGCACCACTGACTACATGCCCACTTCCAGGCACAACTTGGCACACAGTAGGTGCTTTGTAAGTGTTTGTTAAATGAATAAATTAAGTAATTATTTCTACACATATTGAGTTAAATATTTTCATTAATTGAGAGCACATAATGTTATATATGGCTGGCCAAATTTCCAATTAATTAGAATATAATTAAAAATTTGTAATATAAAATATTACATTATATTACATTATTTAAAAATAATAAAATATTCAACACTAAGGTGAAATGGAATATAATCTTTTATGACTTAGACACATTTTAGTGGTGTTATAGGGTCATAATTATGATTACTATTTACTGTTGTCATAAAAATACACATAATGCTAGTTAGTTTTGATTAAATGTGGAGCTTTATAATAGGTAGTTGACTATATAAACATGCAGCTGTTGGGTCTCACATTGTCTCTCTGAAGGGCACATGGCATCACAGTATTATTGAATAGGAGAAAAAAACTGAAGCCCAGGCTGGATAAATGACTGCTCAGAGTTAAATGACCACCAAGAGACAAGGTTAGAGTAGAAGTCATATCTGACTTTAATCTAAGTACTCTTCCTTTTATAAAAAATTGTGATGTTAAAGAGACAAAATATTTGAGGGACTACTAAGTCTAATACTTTTCTATCTGGAAAAGCAAGAATGAGAAGGCATATGCTCAAAGTATACAACACTCTAAAGAAGGTTTTTAGGAAGACGCAGTCAGAAATTTTTGGAATTTACCTTCCTTACTTAGGAAAGGAAGAGTGCTTTGCACACTAGCAAGTAAGTTTGTGAAGTCTGGTTCCTCAAGAGATAGTTCAGGTTAAGGCATGAATAAGATTAGAAACCATTTATGGGTGTCAGTTTCACAATAAGCTATTAAGGGAATAATAATAATAACGACAACAACAACAATAATAAGCATTTTGTTGTCGTTGTTTAGGTCCAACCTTTGAAGCTAATTTCAAGGAAGATAATCTTGCCATTCTACAACTGTCCTTTGGTGGCAAGTCAGAAACTATAGTTCAGTTGTTTGTACCTGGATCACTGGAGAAGGGTGATGATTACGTGCACCCTTCTCCCTCTTCCAAGTCTCGCATTGCTGCTGAGTATGTGATGTCTGTAGAGAGCAGCCCTACAGTCATAAGCTCATGTCTGTGGGAATGTTGGGTGACACAGGAGATTAACATGGGCCATCTGTTTGTGTCCTCACAAGGGGCATGAAGTCACAGGAGAATAAGGATTGTTGCTGATGGAGAGTCAGACATTCCCTAGGGAGAGGCAGGTGAGCACAGGCAAGGGACCTAGAAACAGGTGCAGCTTCTTGGGGAACAAGAATCCTGGACTGTGAATCGACAGACTTGGGCAAGTGACAAAATATCCAGAAGGGTGAGAGCTCAGAAAGTCTTTTCTTTCTTCTTCTTTTTTTTTTTTTTTGAGTTGTAGTCTTACTTTGTTGCCCAGACTGGAGTTCAGTGGCACAATCATGGCTCACTACAGCCTCGACCTTTTGAGTTAATGTGATCCTTCTGCGTTAGCCTCTGAGTAGCTGGGACTACAGGTGTGCACCATCATTCCTGGCTAACTTTTTGCTTTTTATAGAGATGAGGTTTTGCTATGTTGCCCAGGCTGGTCTGGAACTCCTGGGCTCAAAAGATCCTCTCACCTTGGCCTCCCAAGTTGCTGAGATTACAGGTGTGAGCCACTGCACCCAGCAGAAAGTCATTTCTTTATTTTTAATTTTATTTTAAAGATGTGGGGTACAATTCAGGATTAGGTTTATAAGTGGTCACTGTACAGGTAAAGTTTGGGTCTCCCTCTGGCCCCCACTTTGCCTACTTTGGGATCAGGTACCCTTATTGATGTTGTGTACCCCCATCCCCACCCAGCAGTATCCTGCTTCTGCCAATCCTCAGAAAGTCATTTCTTAAGTTGATCATCTATGAACTGTCACCATACTCTGCCCCTCCGGAACTGCTGATCTGTACGGGTTGTATCAGCACACCCCACACAATGCTTGACCTCTTGTGCTAGAGCATGTGGATCACAGACTTAGTCAAATTCAACAGTATCTGTCTCCTCCATCTTTACCCTTCCTTCCTCCGCAAGGAAAAGAGCCCTAGAGTGAGCATGAAATGGCATACATGAATGTATACTCATTTGATTTCAGCTCTAATGTGCCCTGCATAGAGTTACTATCTTGCTTACTAGGGGTAATTCTAAAGTTTGAAGATACACATACAAATCAGTGTTCAAGGCACATGTGCGTATACCCCCCCCCACCATTTATTCTGATGTAATGTGGACCCTAAATGCAAACCTGCTATTTCATCTGGTGCTCAATGAAAGAGCTGTATCTTCTAACACAAGAAGAAAAACCAGCTGGGCCTGACATATTACAAAAAAGTAAATGAGACTTCCTAAGGTCTTTCAAGAGTAAGAGGGATATACCTGATTTTGACCTGTGAGATTAGTTTAGAACCCAATCTCTATATAAGGTGCAATGTCACTGACCCTGTTCTTGTCCTCATGACAGCCACTTTCAGATTATGTAGCATGTGACAGGCCATGAAAATATTCATGAAGTTAAAGAAAGCTCTGTTCTTCACACAGTTACCACGGGAAGCACAACATAGAGATTCTAAACAAATACCAGAATAATGTAAACTACAAAACTTTGAAACTAAGGATAAGAGGGGGTTAAAAGTGTAACTAATTTCATCCAGTTTAGGCTGAGGGGTCAAATCAATAGGTACTACATTCCAAAGTGAGATTGTAGACCATCACATAGGATTTGAAAGGGAGGTTCCGAAAACCAGTTTTGCTACTGTTAATGGACCACTCACCTCTAGCCTGAAAAAGGAGATTGGAGAGGTCGAGAAAAAAGGTGGAGATTAGGGTGCTGTGGGTTGTATCTCTCACCACCTCATCCCCCAAGGGGAGGGAAGAGAGATGCCCACCCTACACTTGTGGCTGAGGCAAAGGGACTTTTGAATGGTCCCTTCAGCTGTGGACATTTGGTGTCCAATAACCTCTGGGAACTCCGAAGCTGAGTGACATGAGTAAGGTTGGTCAGCTGCCTCCATGGAGAACTGGGAGCAGAGCTGCCATGCTGGGACTGGCCTGGAAATCCGCAGTCTCTCAGGGCAAAACAATCCCCGAGTGTTTCCCACATACCAGATGTGGGCCACAGGCCAGAGTGAGCTGACAAGAGTTTGTTGTCTTTCCCCGCTCCTGTCTGAAAAGTGTGCTGGACTGTAGAGAGGATCTTAGCAGAGAGTTACTAGAAGTATATTGCTGGATATCTAGGAGCCGAGGAAGTAACCAGCTAGAAAAAAGATGCATTCCCTTGTGTCCAGGGAACTGTAGGTGGGAGCCGTTCTGGGAAGTCAGGACGAAGTGAGGGGAAGGACTTCAGGAAACCATGAAAAAGCCCCAAAAGAGATTAGAGGCAACTTTCAACACAGGCTAAGATGGAGAGTTCAGACTCCAGTTCAGAAAAGTACTGGTCATATAGGGACATTCTGACCACCTTACCTTTCCTATGGTAACTATAAGGGTCACAAATGTGGTTGGGGTTAGGAAAGGAGGAAAAGGAGTGCTATGTGGAAAAAGAAAGATGACCCTCTCCCTATTTTCCACTGTAGGTGCCTTGTTTTGGTAGGCCTCAGCTGGTGGGGGATGGGGAGGAAGGTGTTAACTGCAGTTTTATTTGCAGCAAGGCCCTACGTATGAACCTTCAAGTTGTGAACTTTCAAAGGTGTGCACGTGCATTAGCAAGCCCAATCATATAAGTTAGTTCATGTGTCTGGTGTACACAGTCACATGTGGGCATTCTGCAAGTGGTTGTGCTTTGTATACTTTACAATACTGTATAGAGTACAGGAGTATCTTTATTTCAAGCCCAGGAAGCAAGCATAAAAACAGTGACGATGTAGCTGGTATAGTACTATAATGATGATTGTGTTAGTTGGGTACCTAGGCTAAGTTTGTTGAACTTACAAATTGAACTTGTGAACGTGCTCCCAGAACGGAGCTCATTCATATGCAGGGGACTTACTATATGACCTTAGATTGGACATATTGATTACTAGTCTTAGACTGATTTAGTGAGCAGAAGTGACTAGAGGGCTTGTCTTTGTCTGAGAGGGATGAGAAGAGTTGCTGGAATCTGCCCTAAATTTTACTCAAATGAGGTAGGGGATGGGGAAATAGCCCACACGTGAGTTTGAACAGTGAGAGAAGAAATGAAGTTATTTTTTAGCTGCACCCCATGCGCCTTGTTCTCTTAACACAACTGTTACACAAGCAAAAAAGAAGCACCAAAGTATCTATTCCAAAAAGACCAATTAGAATTCAAAGATAGTAAACACAGAAAATGGAACTGAATTTGATCACTATATCCTTTCTCCAAAGTAAGTTTCTTTCTTTCTTTTTTAAATAAACATACATGGGAAAGAATAGGTTTTTACCTTCTTTGCTACTTCCGCTAGCAGAAGGGTCTTCCCAGTGCAAGGTCCACCATATACAATAAGAGGGTTGATGTGCCCAGTTTTGCTTGGAAGGATATAGTTATGTACTATGTTTAGAGACTCACACTTGTACTCGTAGAAGGAGGCATACGTCTTACATAATGACGAGTGTTGAAGGATTTCGTCGTAGAGTGTATCAGTTTCAGTGTCAAAATTCTGTTGCACTGTTGCCTGAATTATATCAATCATGTCCTCATAAAACTGCTTACCCAGACCTTCGATGTAATGATTTTCTATTTCTTGGGAATAGCCTAGTTTCATGTCACAATGAGTAACAGATGTGTATACTCTCAGATTAGAGGATGCTACAATAGTAGGAATAAATTCATCCCTGAGTTTTATCAGCTTCTCTTGGGCTTCTGGGTCCCGAATAATCCTTGGTTCCGTTCCAATTATGTCCATGTATTTTCCCATTTCTGGGATTTTCACAAAGCGCTCAATGTTAGCAATTTTCCTAATGTAGCAAACACACTTCTTTAGGAATGCTGGAGTTTGTTTTCCTAGAGCAAAGTCAAACTCATCCTCTATGGCTGAAAGAAAATAGGATAAGGAATTTATTGCTTAGAACAAAGAACAGTGCGTCCACATTCTCAACACTTAGTCTCTAGATGATTTTGCTTATGGTTTGTAGCAAGGTAGTCTTTAGAATAATTTTTGTTTGTCTTCTGCTAAGCAGCCAGGAACCCAGGAACATGGGTTTTAAATAAAATTATTTAATTTTCTCCCCCAAATGGAGGAAACGGTTGATTATATGCATAATAAATAAAGCATACCAAGCTTACAATGGATATTTCTATATATTTCTGCTTAGCTTCCCGCTCAGACTCAGAGTGAACAGCAATTTGGGCCAGGAAACAAAGAGGAGATGACTGAATAACATAGTTAGTTTGCTTGTTCCTTGTCAGTCTGTCCTTGACAATGTGGCTTCACCATCTTGTCCGAGGTGTACTGAACCCCAGACAGACATGTTTAAATATAATTACAAAAGCATACTTGAAGGCAAAATATAATCATGTTCTGATCACTGATCAATCTGGATGATTTATGTCACCGTTAAGTTCCATTATATCCATCAGAATAGGTACAGAAAAATCACTTGGCATACAACATTATGTCTTCTAAAATAAAACATCTTATGGCTTATATCACAAATGCTTATACACAAGCAAATATAGTTTATGAATTATTTGAGTCCCCACAAGAACATTTAAAACTAAATCAGTAGTAGTAAAAACATCATTGTGCTGGGGAAAAATTGAAATACATAAAATAAACCAACAGAAATGAATTTTAAGGCAAGCAGTCTTAAAATTGGCTGCCCACCCCCCCCTTTCCTCCTTCCTTTTTTCCTTAATTCCTTCGCTCTTCCCACCTTCTTTTCCTTCATCCAACTGGTCTTTCTTGAGTTCCTACTCTATGCCAGGCATGCAGATTTTTGCTTAGGATACAAAGATGAGAGAAAGCAGATAGTCCCTACAGAAAAAGCCATGATGGCATGCTACAGACGAAATGTTTGCATACCCTTCGAGATTCCTATGTTGAGACCTAATACCCAAGAGTATGGTATTTGGAAGTGGGACCTTTGGGAGATAGGCCATTAGGGTGGGGCACTCATAACTGAAAGTAGTGCCCTTATAACAGAGGACTGAGAGAACTCTCTTACTCCTCCTGCCATGTGAGGACAGCAAGAAGACAGTCATCTATGAATTGGAAGCTGGCTCTCACTAGACAACAAATCTGTGGGTGATTTCGGATGGTGAATTTATGTGGAGGAGGTTCTGAACACATGGGACTAGTCTGGTCATGAATTGAAAACATTTATATGCTGATTATAATGTCAAACAAATCCTAGATGATACATACATATAGCCTATAATGTAATTGTCAGGGAAGGTGAAAATTTTATTTTAAAAGGGTGCCTTTCAGTGGTATTATTGTGATAATATTTTTTCATGATTTTTCATGATTTTTTCAACTGAAAATTTTGACTCAAGTGAAAAAGATATGCTTGGCCGGGCTCGGTGGCTCAGCCTATAATCTCAGCACTCTGGGAGGCTGAGGCGAGTGGATTGGCTGAGCCCGCAGGTTCGAGACCAGCCTGGAAACTTGACGAGACCTTGTCTCTACAATAAATCAAAAATTAGCCGGGTGTGGTAGCGTGTGCCTATAGTTCTGGCTACTTGGAAGGCTGAGGTAGAAGGATCGCCGGAGGCCAGCAGGTCAAAGTTGTGGTGACCGGGAGTGTGCCACTGCCCTCCAGCCTGGGCGACGGAGTGGGACTCCGACTCAAAAAAAAAAAAAAAAAAAAGAAAAGATATGCTTATAGCTGCGAGTGTTCAGCTATAAGCTGTCTCTTATGCATCAGTATGTTTTACAAAGGGTTTAAATTGGACAAGTTGGTCAAGGTGGTCAGTTAAAGGAGCTTATATAACATATGTCTACTCTTCTTTTTAAAGAAGAGTAAGAGCTTGTTATAATTATCTATAGACAAGGGAGAGTGCTTGAAATCAGGACACCCTGAGCTACTGCAAAATAACCTTGGGCCCACCTCCTTTCTGTGTAAAGTGCTAGGGAGCAGACTGGGTTAGTGGCGTGCTACATTCTGGGGGTATCATACGGGAAAGGAAGTGGCTAAACTATGGTATCTATACAAAATGTACAATAATCAGAAGTATGCATCTTAGACTCCCAGAAAACAACTCAACTGTAACCTAACTGACAATGTTATAATATCTATGGAAAGAGTGTGTCCGTTAGGAATGTTGATCATAAAAAGAACAAAAAAGAGATATAGATAAACCAAGTAAACAGAGCCCATCTAAGTGGGCAGTGGAAGAAGTTGTACACAGAATGTTTGGTATGGTATAGATTTTAATATACCGAAATAAACAAGCAATGTGATACAAAGTTAACTTGATAGAGTTATTTTTAGAGGTGTATCCTCATGATTTGGGAGGACTTTTATTCTGAAACTTGTCTATAAATATTATAAACTTCCCTTACTAGAATACTGTATTTGTTTTCTGTTTTTGCATGATCCGTTTTTTTTTTTTTGAGTTGGAGTCTCACTCTGCCACCCAGGCAGTGCAGCGGCATGCTCACAGCCACTGCAGCCTTAACCTGTTGGGCTCAGGTGATCCTTCCACCTCAGCCTTCCAAGTAGCTAGAACCACAGGTGCACGCCACAATGCCCAACTATTTATTTATTTATTATTTATTGTAGAGATTAGGGAGGGGTCTTGCCAAGTTGTCTAGGCTGATCTTGAACCCCTGGACTCAGGCAATCCTCTCGCCTCCACCTCCCAAAGTGCTGGGATTATACGCATGAGCTACTGCACCTGGCTGCATGATCCTTAATATCCCAAATTTCACCAGTCACAGCACTCAGTGAAAGTAACATAAGGAACAGATTTCCAGACCTGGTAACTATTATCTCTGAGACATTACACTCTTTCCTTTCCTGAAGGTCACTCGATTTTTCTTTTCTTTTTTTTTGTTAAGCCGGGGTCTCACTCTGTTACCCAGGCTGGAGTGCACTAGTATAACCATGGCTCACTGCAGCCTCAACCTCCTGGGCTTAAGAGATCCTCCTGCCTCTGCTTCTTGAGTAGCTGGGACTTCATGTGTGTACCAATACACCTGGCTAATTTTTTGTAGAGATGAGGTCTTGTTATGTTGCCCAACAATCCTTGCTATGTTGCCCAAGCAATCCTCCCACCACGGCCTACCAAAGTGCTGGGATTATAGGTATGAGCCACTGCACCTGGTCTAAGGTCATTAAATTTTGATGTTTACAGAAGAGCACCATTTTGGGGTCTGATTTATTCCTGTTTACTTCCCATTGTTTAAAAAGGTGAAGCCTAAAGTGTGAAACATTACATTCAAACATAAATAATATACCTTTACAGGTTTTATCTAGTATTCTTACTTTCAAGGTTTCTAAAAATATGAAAATAATATAGTATATCCATTTGAAAGAGCCAGCTCTTCTTCAGCAATTCTTATTGTACAGACAAGACTTTAAAATGAGTTTGAAAAGCAAGATGAAAAAGAACTGTCTTGAGCATCTTTAGAAGATGTAACCCCAAACAGAAAACAGTCTGTTTGCAGCATATCATGAGACATTCCTAATCTTCATGTGGCTATCCATGTGGAAAGTCTTCAGTATGGAGAAAGTTAGGGAAAGTGTTTGCCAGTGAAACACTTGAACACTTGAGCTATACGATTGTGAATAGGGTGATACTTTCCTAAATTAGTGTCTTTTATATAAAGAATAGGAAAGCTTTACTCTGGGCATTGTTTCTAAGACTCCACTTTTAGGAACAGAATGGTTTTGTCCCTGACAAAGATAAAAAGCCAGAGAATCAAAAATGGATCAAAATGTCTCAAAGGAACAAGGATAAATGTTCATCTACGTAGCCTAAAGACAGGACTTCCTGACAATCTTACCATTTTCAGAAAGCCTCATTTTTTAATAGCTTCCTTCTGGAATTTGTCAAGATGATCTATAGTGTCTTAGAGCTTGACATCCATAACACCAAGCTCATGAGAATGATTACCAAGAGCCTTTTAGGTTTTCACAAATGTTTTCCCATGCCATTCAAAAAACCAATCTGAATATGCAATTACTATTGCTTTTTTCCTCAATAACTCTTTACTATCAACTTTCAAAATAAATGCTATTTTTACCCAGCCATGGTTGTTCCCTGGAAACTATGACTGACATAGTCCCTCAGACTTGTGGTTTCCAGTGCAACTTATACTAATAGAGCTTCCTTTCCATGGCTGAGAAAGGCTGACAGGTGCCTTTCTGCTTGATGGCTGATAGGTTTTTATTTTAGTGTTATATTAGGTCCTACCAATCTCTTGCCTCACACCCTTTAATTGCTTTCCATCTAACCCAGTTTAAAACACAAGGCTCTTACTATGTTCTGTGCTCACCTTCTAACCCCATTTCTCCCTCTCAGTAAAGGTAGAGTTAAAAAACTAATAATAAATCAAAAAAGTAAAGCTATCTTTCCATTCTTCCTGCTTTTGGAAGTTGCTAAGCACATTTCTGTCTCAGGGATCTCGAACCTGTTGATCCCTCTGCCTGGAATTCTCTATCCTCGACTCATATGACAGTGCTGGCTCTGATTACTCCTGTCACTCAGGTCTAAAGTCATCTCCCCATTGCCCAACCCCATCTAAACCTGCACACCCACATCCTTCATCAGTCACTATTATTCTACTCCTGTGCTTTATTTTGTTCATGTGACTTATTTCTGAAATCATATTGTTCATTTGATGACTTGCCTACCATTTTTATTTTTCTCCACTAAAAAATAAGTTCCAGGAGAATAGAGACCTCGCCTCCTTACTCATTGCTGTCTCCCCAGTGCTTGGCACACAGTAGACCAACAAGCCCATACATGTTTGCTGGACGAGTGAGTGGATGAATGGATGGACAGTTCAACTGAGAAACAAAGGCAGAATCATTATAGCTAGCACCTTCCGACTCCTCTTAAAATCACATTTTCTAGAGATGCCCTCAAGTTAAGTAAACGTTTTTCTAGGAATTAAAACAATAGAACACTCGCCTCTCCAGGACATGGCGACATTTAGAAAAATTAAATCTCACCAGGCAGGAAACAAGATTAAATTTACAGAACCCTAAAAGGGAAGCAGTGGACGCATCTATGATTTGCCTATTCCTTAGTTTACTGAGGATTTGTGAAAATTACCTGAGAACAGGTACCTCTTAGCTTGGTTGTGTTTCATTTTACCCTTTTCATGTAACAGTTTTACAGCAGCCTTAAATATCTTCTTGATCTCATCTGATATCTCTTGCCATGTCTTCTCATTTTCAGTATTGGCAGAAGGCTGCATCTATGAAAATGTAAAAGGGAGAAATTAGTCTTAAATTCATCAAAGAAAAATAACATTTAACAACAAGAGAATTTATATTATTTGAATGCCTACTAGATGCCAAAACTATGATAGATGCTTTACATACAGTGTCTCATTTAGTTCCCTTAAAACCCTGAAAGCAAGAAATTATCTGTACATATGAACTTGACCTTGTTACACAAGGGTGTGACCCAAACAGGGTATGTTTGTTTGGCTTTCTTATTGTACCATGTTTTTCCCTCTTGAGGTTTTTTTTTTTTTTTTCCCTCTTGAGTTTTGATACAAATGTCATAACAAAATAATTGCTTCAATGTCCTCCAAAGGGGACAGAAAGTTAAAGGGGAGGTGCTCATGTGTTACAGTTAATTGTCTATTTAGTTTCTACTTCATTTGTTTTGATGATCCACTAGGGAATAAAATGAGAGGATTGTCTACCAAGATAGTGACATTTATGCGCTCTTGATAATAATCTTATTCATACATTCATGTATTCAATAATTTATGCATACACATCATGTGGGGTTTTAGGAATATTTTAAATTTCCCTAGAGGGTTATAAAAATAAATGAAGAAGAAACCATTAAAGCCAACTAAGTAGCAACATATGAGCAAGTGCCCCCAAACCACTGCATAAACTGGTTTCTTGAGGTATCATGTTCTTTGCTATCAGCATTTACTCCTAGGATATTTAACTGGGAAATCGTTTGGGTCTACCCTAATATTCCCATCTGAAGAAGCAATATTCATATAGATAATTACTTTGAACAATGCATGTGAGAAAGTGGAAGAAAAATGAATTCTGATACAATTTCCTGTTGCACAGAAAAATGCTTTATGTTGGATATCAGAATGACAAACACATGGATCCTGAAATGAAGAACTGTGGCCAAGGCATGGTTCTTCTCCTCTTGGAACTGCTTGGGTGCTGACTGAATCAAGGACTTTCTCTTTGGAAGAGGGAAAGACATCTATGCCCTCTTTGCAATTTCTCTAAACACCCTATGCAATGAATAGGGTAGGGTAACCCTTCCCCTTTTTCTTCCTCATTCAGTTTTAAGATATACGTGGTAGATATCCTTGGAAGCCAAGCTGGAGAGGAGACAAAGATAATTAATCAGGCATGAATCAGCCTCATTCCATCATTCTACATAAGATACAAGAATATAAATTAACTCTTTGAATGCTAAAGAAAAAAATATTAAATAAAAAATTTTAAAAGGATACCATAAATAACAGCTAGGCAGATTCCAAAAAGGATACCCCTCAAAACACACACACACATGCACACACACACACACCTTTCACAAAGTAAAAAATATAACTGTTGAAATGGAAAACTCAATGTATGGACAGAGTAAACAATGCTGAAGAAGAAATCAGTGATCTGGAAAAGTGATCTGAAGTAATCTTCTGGAAAGTAGCACAGAGAGATAAGGAAATTGATAATGTGAAGGAGAATTAAGAGACATGGAAAACAGACTGAGATGGTCTAATGCACATGTAATTAAAGAGCAAAAGGAAAGAACTGGGAATAGAGGAGAGACATTATTTGATGAGATGATGGCTGAGGATTTTCCAGAACTAATAGGATATATGAATTCACAGATATAGGAAGCATGACATATTCCAATCAGAATAAACAGACACATTGTAGAAAAGTGGTCAAAACAAGAATATTATCAGATAAACACTGAGAGTCATTAATGGAACTTAATTTAATCAGTTAATATTAACAATTAATTAACAAACAATAAATTATTTAATACAATTTAATTATTTAACCAAACTGTCAATTTAAAAAGTGAAAAAGTGTATACTAATATTAGCTAAAAATAAAATATAATTAATTAATATCACTAGTAAACTTTCATTAATAAAACTTTCAAAATATGTACTTCCAAAACTACCCCAGAAGAAAAGTCAGAGATGCCAAAAGGAAAGATGAGTCAAAATTTGTAAGGTTTTTTAGCTTTTCATTTAGTGTATTTCATGAAATTTTTAAGGTGAATAATGTGGTGCTTTCATATCTGTATCCATTGCAAAATAAATTTCCACATTCAGGCTAACTAACATATTCATCACCTCACATTCTCTTTTTGTGATGAGAACACTTGAGGCCTACTGTCTCAGCAAATTTCAAGTGCACAATACATTATTATTAACTATGGCCACCATATTGTACATTAGGTATCCAGAACCAACTCATCTTACAATTGAAAGTTTGATCTCTTGGGCCAACATTTCTGTACTTCCTCCACATTCCAGCCCTAGTAGCCACCCTTCTCCTCTCTGTTCCCATGAGCTTGACTTTTTTAGATTCCATAAATAAGTGAGATCATACAGTATTTGTCTTTCTGTGCCTGACTTATTTCCCTTAGCATGTTCTCCAGGCTCATCCATGGCAGGATTTCCTTTTTGTAAAAGACTGAAAAACATTTCCGTGTGTGTGTGTGTGTGTGTGTGTGTGTGTGTGTGACGTTTTCTTATCCAGGATTCTATTGATACTCTTCGATTGTTTCCATATCTTGGTCATTGTGAATCATGCTACAATGAACATAGGAGTGCAGATATCTCCCCAAGATACTGATTTTATTGCCTTTGAATATATATCCAGAAGTAGCATTGCAGAATCATATGATAGCTCCATTTTTAATTTTTTGAGAAACTGCTATGCTGTTTTCCATAATGATTCTAGCCATCTACAGTCCCACCAACATGCACCAGGGTTCTCTTTTCTCCACATTTTCTCCAACATTTGTTATCGGTCGACTTTTTGCCAGCCATTTTAACAGGTGTGAGGGTGTTAGCTCACTGTGGTTCTGATTTACATTTCTCTAATGATTAGTGTGGATTTGGTTGTTAAAAGGAAATCTGGGGCCTGGGGCAAAGTAACTTTCTGTTGATTCTGCCTTTTCTGTGGAGAAAACCATCGCTGGATAATGCAAACAGTTTAAACTGGAAGATGCACGCGTTGGAGGGGAAGGTGACTTACTGTGTTTTTATTGCTTCTCAGCATTTCTGATTTGGGTCTGAGGTAATAAGCTGCTGGCACCGAGTTCTCATCCCGACAGTACCATTCCTCCAGTAACTTGGTCTCTAATTTTGCCTCTATGGCAGCATCCAAAATCATCTCAAACTCTGAGGCTTCAACTTCTCCAGGGATGCGGATGTTTCCATATTTTTCACCTAATAGTCCCTGTGTATCAAGAAGAAAGTTCAATTTAGTGTGTCACCAAGAAAGTTCATTTTGGTATTCGCATCACATGGTCATCAACAAATATTAACAAATAGATTACAAGATACATTGTTCCATTAGTTTTCTCTGTTAATCACAGTGGATAGATAATTTCATAAGTAAAATTAGCTTGTTATAACAACTTATTCAACATGCTGAGAAATGAGATTGCATATTTTATCAGACAAATTCAAAATACAGAATTTTGTAGCAAATTTACTTTCTCAAGTTTACATAACACAACAAAAGCTGTTCTACTCTGACATTTGTTTGTGTCAAAGAAAAGTGACATACTGGACACTATGAAATGTCAAACACATAAAGTCTCAAGCAAAAGAATTTCTCTTCCAAGAGTTGATAGTGGTATATGTTTCGTGAATTGTGCTCTGATAAACATACGAGGTGTCATGTGGTAGAACAATTTATGCTCCCTTGGGTGTATACTCAGTAGTGGGATTGTTGCGTCAATTGGTAAATCTATATTTAGTTCTTTGAGAAATCTCCAGACTGCTTTCCATAGGGTTTGAGCTAGCTTATATTCCCAGATCCCACCAACAGTATATGAGTGTTCCTTTTTCTCTGCAACCTCGCCGACATCTGTTGTGTTTTATGACTTTTTTTTCTTTTTCTTTCTTTCTTTTTTTTTTTTTTTAAGAAAGCAGGCTTAATGGAGAGGACAGGAAAACTCCCATAGTGAGAAGGCTTTTTTTTTGACATTTTAATAATAGCCATTCTGACCAATGAGATGGTATTTGTGGTTGTGATTTGCATTTCTCTAATGATTAATGATGTTGAACATTTTTGTTTTTTACATGCTTGTTGGCTGCTTTTATGTCTTCCTTTGAGAAGTGTCTGTTCATGTCCTGTGGTCACTTTTCAATGGGGCTATTTATTTTTTTCTTGTCATTGACTGGATAAAGAAGATGTGGTACATATACACCATGGAATACTATGCAGCCATAAAAAGAACAAAAACACATTTGTTTGTTTTTTGCAGCAACATGGATGCAGCTGGAGACCACCATCCTAAGTGAATCTTCACAGAAACAGAAAATAATACCACTTGTAAGTGAGAGCCAAACAACAGACGGGGGGGGGGGGGCCCCTAAAGGGGGGGGGGGGGGGGACTCCTAAAGGTGAGGGGTGAGGTTTTAGTGCTGAGATGAGCCGAAGGAGACAAGGACATAAGCTGACAAGGTCCTTATGTCCTAAAACACAAGCTTGACAAGGCCCTTGTGTTCCTGGCCTGGCTCCAACAAGAGCTTGACCAGTACTTCCTTCTTTGATGTTTGCACCTGAGAGTGTTGATTTACTAGAAATCAGTT